TTGCGTTAAAGAAAAATGCTTATGTGCCAAAAATGTCAAATAATCAAAACTTGCTATTGCAAGTTTTGTTTATTTTAAGTTTTGATATTTTTATCTCAAAGTACTTTTCCGAGTGGAAATCTCAAAAACATCTGAGAATCGGCTTAACGCTAAAATCTTAATGGAGAATCGGCTTAACGCTAAAGGTGTATTTTTACACTTTGTGTATTTTCATAAAAATATTTAACATTCGCATAAAACTATTTATTTATTTGTATTTAATGATCATAAAACTATATATGTATTTAATTAAACCAGAAATTAAAATGTGAATATGCATAAAGGTTTATTGGCAGAAATATGCAAATGATTATATAAAACTTCCAATATACTCATTTGATGTATTTGATTAGGCCGTTTTAAAGGTAAAGGACACAAAATTGTGGTTACAGCGGAATTGGAGAACGTGTACATTAGTACTAGGTCAAAACATTTTTCTATTGCCCACTCCACTTAAACAACCAATTATTATAATGTAATCAAATTTATTTGCAATCATAATGAACATTATGAACATAATCATAGCTGAACTAGAACGTTTCTAAGTTCTAAGTAGAAATTCTTTACATATATCGGAACAATTACTTTGCGTGACTAGAAAAAGCAAGTTTACAAAAGTTTATTATTTAATATAGGTTTATGCATTTTTAATTTACATATATTATTAAATAATTTAATAATATATGTAATATATTATTAAATTATTTAATAATATATGTCAATTAAATTATACACATATTATTATTAAATTTATTATTTATTATCAATTTAAATTGTTATATTATGTTGTGCGGTTATTTGCTAATAAGTAATCGTTGCAAATATTTGTTCTCTTTTCGTAACAAATCTGCCTGAAACGAGATTACAGCATGTATGTGGCTGAACTCATGACTTCATGGCTAAAGTCATGAACGAATTGTTTATTTATTTATTTAGTTTTGTTTATATAGGAAGATTATATCAGTTATAAAAATTAACACCTTTATGCAAAGCATAAGATATTTATATTAGAACATGTTTAGTAGGAAAACTCCTACTGAATTCAATAGTTTTCAATAGGATCTAATAGTATATTAAAAATAAAGAGAAGTTGTTAAACTTTATATCGCGGAGCTTTAATGAGATTCATGTTAAAATGGAATTGATTTGTCTGATGTCAAAGCGTTAATATTGTTTAAACTTTTAAATGAAACGCATAGTTTAAGGAAATTTCTATTAGAAATAATGGTTTGACTGTTACAAAAGTTCTAAAGCTACCCACCTACCCCACCTAAATAGAAAAAAAAAAATCTAAAAACGCTGTTGGCGTTGTAGCGTCGCCAGAATTTATTTGTAAACATAAAAGGTGAAAGAATATGTAAAAAAAATTATTGTAAAACAACGACTTATGTTTTTCAGTTTTATAATATTTTTTTTTTAATGTAAATAATTTATCGTAATCAGAGTCATCTCCACTTTATTTAATGACTCAAATTGGCCCAAATCATTCTAGAAAATATATGTCGTTATAAATAACGTTGTTTTGTTAAAGATTTTCAACAATCATTGAAATATAAATTATAAATGGTTCCAATTTCTAAAATTTTAAATGCTTTAGCGTAAAAATCACTTTATTTACACTTTATTTTACACTTAAATTACACTTTACACTTTATTAATTACACTTAAAAACTAAATTTATGTTACAGATTTTAAGTTTCTTTTAATAATGATGTTTGGAAACTATGGAAACTATGTTAGTTTTAAAACCCTCGCAAAACCTCGTAATTCGAGGAAGGCGTAAACTTGACGTGACAAAACAATTTAAGCCTATTAAAAAATAACTTCTTTAATAACTATTTATATAGAATAATTAAAAACTGGAATTCTTTGCCCAACTATGTTGTTTGCTCATGGTCCTTAAATTGTTTTAAGGCTAGTTTGACAATTTAAAACCATGAAAGCTGCTATAGCATCTTTGCATGGTATACATCGCATGGTCTGTTTTGCATAGTCTGTACCAATAATATAATTATATACGCCGTATTTATAATGGTTTTGATGGCAAACGTGATATGTAGTTAAAAATAATTAAAGTGGATGATTAGAAAGACTGTAATGAAGAATTAAATGAGTTTCAGCAACCAGGTGTAACACTGTGTATGTGTTTCATTGGTATTAGCTTAATGTGGGGGCTTTTAAAGGCAAAAATAAAATTATATAACATTAATTTAAAAGAAAGACGAGCAAATATCTTTAAAAAAAAATTGAAAAAAAAAGTATATTTTTAATAATTATTTTATTCAAAATTTGCAATAAAAGAAGTTTACAAAAGGTCAGGAGACACTCGAATAGTGTCAGAACGTACCAGGAGACACTCAAATAGTGTCAGGATAAACAAGGAGACACTCAAATAGTTTCAAACTAATCAAAGGGGAGTGTCACCTAAAATGAACAAAAACAAATAAAAGCAAAATGCAAAAAAATATTCGAAGAAAAAAAAACTTAGAAATTAGGAAAAAGTATAGAAATAGAAATTAAGAAAAAGTAACTGACAAAAATAAATAAAAATAACAATAATTATGATTGAGGAAAATAATAATATCAATAATGTTTTTTGATACTTCACGTCTGCTAGATGTAGCAATAAAACTACATCTAGTATGCTGCAATGTATATAGTAGATTACAATATTTTCTGCAATGTATATAGTAGATTACAATATTTTCTGCAATGTATACAGTAGATTACAATATTATTACTTTCTGAACAGCAAGAGACTAGTCATTGAAATGTGAAGTTTGTTGATGAATATAAATTTAGTTTAAGATATTAGATAAATATATTCCTTTTTTTTAGTTTTAGAATTTAGTTTTAGATATTAGATAAATATATTCCTTTTTTTTAGTTTTAGAATTTAGTTTTAGATATTAGATAAATATATTCCTTTTTTTTAGTTTTAGAATTTAGTTTTAGATATTAGATAAATATATTCCTTTTTTTTAGTTTTAGAATTTAGTTTTAGATATTAGATAAATCTTTTTTTTGAGATTAAAAAAGAGTTGAAGATTGAGTTTTTTTTTTTATTATCATCAATTACGACATTTTGCAAAACAGCCTTATTCGCCACAAATTATGAACAAAAGAAAGTAGGATTTTTTTTCATATCTTAAAGTTAAACACCAAAAACAACAATTAAACACATTATGCTCATTAAAATTATTTTATAAAAAAAGTTCTATTTATTTGTAAAACAGTTTTTAATTACTTTTTTAATTAATTACTTTAATTAAATTTAACAATAATAATTGAGGTGGTCAGAATTTTATGAACAAATATTAGCAAATATTAACAGTAATTAGAAATTAGCAACAAAAAAAAAATGGTATCCTGTGTATAATAAATGGTTGACAATTAATAACTAATAGGATTTTGTATTATTTTTTAATTGCTTATTATGTATTATACTTTTACACAAAATACAACTTTTTTTTCAACAAATTTAACCTCTAATAAGTTTCATCGTTGTACAAATAAAATTAATCAAATAAGAAAGGTTTCTAATTTGCCTGGCAGTACCTTTTTGAAACTGTGCTGTTTTGATAAAAATTATTACCTGTTAATACTTTTGAACGAGCTTCTGTATTTTATGAACATATTTGACGAGGAAAAATTAGCAAATAAGAAGCGTACATTTTAAACTAATTAACAATTATTTACTTTTTGAATAGTAATTTAGGTAGTTTAAAAACGTGTTATGTAACTAATAACAATATTGCTTAAATGTTTGGTTGCTGTGAAAACAATAACAATTAACTTCAAAGGCTGAAATGTAAAAAGTTATTTGTTACTTTTCAGCATATTACAATACAGAAATTAGTTTTATAGTAATTTTTTTGCAATTTACATTTGTTTATTGATGATTGGTAACCGTATTCTACACTTTAAAGTTATATAATATTATTAACTGCTATGGTAACTAAAATTACAACAAATATAATATCTACAAAAATAGAAAAGTTAATAGTGAAAATCGATTTTATTGAAAAGAGTCGAACAATTGTTTTAGTGGATAATTCAAAGTTTAATCTGCATGGCAACTATTATCAAAACTTTTAAGTTAAAAATATTGTTATATAAGTATTAATAAAAATTAAAAAATAAGTTAAAATAAAGTAAAAATATAATAAAATGAAAATATTTAAATAAAAATGAGCGAAAATATAACTGAAGCTTTTGTACCTTGATATATTTAGCTACCCAAATGTCTTCACTACTTTATATGTTCTATTTTATAAACAAGATTTTAAATAATCTTTTCTTAATTAATATTTTTTAAAAACTCAGCAATTTACTTGACCAATTTACTACTAAATTAGGAGCCACATTATTTTATGATATTGATAATATGTTAACCATTCTTAGGAACCAGTTTTGCGGATTTCAAATCATTATTAAAATATATAAACCAAGATATTTCATCCAATCATTTTGTTAAACATTCAATATAGGCATTTAAATTGCATAATCAACTTGTTTTTAATTAGGAAGTAAACAAAATTATCTCATGCAAGGCTTCTTTTCTTTCGTTTGTGTGATTAGTACTAATCACTGAATGACGTAATACCCTTTTTGTTGCTGTTTTTTTAAAAAGAGTTTTTATATACCTTTGTCATTTATTTATTATGTACCTTTATATGTGTATTATATCATTCACTCTTTTACTATTTTTTTTAATGGTTATTTATCTTTTGAATTAAATACAGATTATTTCATTATTTGTTTTTAATTGTTTTCATATCGTTTAAGCTTTATTTACTAAAAAGTTCATGATTTTTCAAGTCGGAAACCTCAAGTTTAATTTAAAAAGTTTGTGGTTTCCGAACCAAAAGCTTCGCATTTAATTCAAAAGTACCAATAATTAAACTTAATTTTAATTGACAATTTTCAGTATTTTTACGTCAAATGAATAGTCCACTTACCGTTTTTAAGCTGGAACAACACAAATAGAAAGATGGTGGTTAATTTCATCGTTTTCACTCTGTATAGAAAAATAAGTGATTACATAAAAAAAAACATTTTTATTCTCAACTGGAAATCATTCTTCGTATTTTAAAAATTAAAATTATTACTGAGAAGAGAGTTAACTTTGCAATTTTTTACTAGAATGACGTTACTGATATTTTGATCAAATTTTAACAGTTCATTGAAAATGTCCAAAATTAGATATTAAAAAAAGAACTCTCAAAAATGACCTAAGGAGAGAGTTATACTATAAATAACAGCATCATGTTTTATCATTCCTCTTAAGGAAAAAAGTTTTTAATTTTTTTTTTTATTAGCAAGTAGTCGAAGAATAAATGCTTTAAAAATATTATTTCAAATTTTGTAAACAACAATTAAAATATAAGCTATGATTTTTGTTTGGAAAAACTATTTTACTGGAAAAGATGTATAGTGAAAACTTATCAAAAAAATTTTGTAGAAATAATATTTTTGTTAATATTTTACTTTCTGTTTAATGTATTGTAATCTATAACAGTTTGTTATGAAAAATAATAGAAAAAAATAATGATAAACAACATCTAAATTTATACTAAAAATATTGACTTAATTTATCTAAATAAAAAGTTTGATAAAACACACAAAAAACGTATTTATCATTATCATAAAATAAAGCAACTTACTGTATAAAAATGTTCCTTCGCTCTCTCTATTTCGTACCTTATGGAATTGCAACGTTTTAAATTATGACAACTAAATGCTTTGCTAACTTTTTTCCTGTTTAATTGACTGTTTCTTGTAGTAGTTGCCGAATAAAATCTGTTCATGAGAAAGAATTGTCCAAAACTCAAGTCCCATAAATGGTTACAAAACAGATTAGCAGATCTCCAATGCATCGACGGTGCAAAGAGTATTGCAGTTCTGCAAGAATTTGATATTATTTCATTCCAATAGATATTATTTCTATTGTATATAGATCTGATTATAGTTTTTTCTCGCTACCGGTATTTTAGACTTTTTGTTACTTGGAAAGATTGAAACTGGGAAGTTTATCTAAAAAGCGCGTCATAGCCAGATAAGAATTCTAGCTTGACTTTTTGCAGTATCAATAAAAAATTTAAAATAATAAACGTTAAAAAACTTAATACGTCGTCATTTCTTTATATTAAGGTAACTAATATTAGCGTAATTAACGTTTTGCACACTATAAATAAATTTTATTTTTCAGGGCGCTCAACAAAAAGTTGATCTGTAAAGCTTTAAACACAGCGATAAATTCGTTTTTTGAGGCTACACACATAATAAATATTTGTTTATTTTAATGCAAAAAAATTAAGAAACAAAAAAAAAGAAAAAAAAAAAGAAAAAAAAAACTTACGCTCTAAACGTAGTTTTGTTGATAAAATAATATATAAATGGAGAGAATTATTGATATTATTGTATAGTATAATAAAAATTAAAGATTTTAGTTTTAATTTTTAATGATTTTTTATTGAATGAAGTTTTTAAAATGTCGTGTCTATTTTTATACGATATTCACCTTTTTTTACACATATAGAAACTCTATCAGTTATTCACCAAAGTTTTACATATTATATTTATATATTATTTTTATTAAATCTTATTATATTCTTTATTTTTATTTTATTAATATATTATATTAAACCATTTATTTATTGTTATATTGCATCAAGATTTTTATATAAATATATGTCTGTATTTTTTTCTTTATCATTTATAATTATAATTTTATTATTAATAATTTATAATTTATTATAATATTTCTTAATACTAAACCAATCGATTCTGTTTTTATAATTTTTCAAATAAAAATTTAATTTTTTAAAATATTTAAATTTTTTGGTAAATTTATGAAACAAGCTACAGTAAAGAAATTTAGTTAAATTCCTCTTGAAATCAAAAAAAAATAATTTAAGACGTACAACATATTTTATGATTACATTACATTTAATGCTGACAAGAGTCACACCGTTATTTTTAAAGAATGCTTCCAAAGACTTAATTAATAAAAGATAATAAAAGAATTTTTTTTTATTGCTAGAAAAATAATTCTTGTTATTAAATTATTAATAGTATAAAAAATGCAATTCTAAATAAAACAATTGATCCGGAAAAACCGGAAGATCTACCATAAAATAGCTACCTAGATATCGATGAGCAGAAATTAGGAATATAGTTTTTATATTATTGCAGAGTCTTTAGAATAAATACAGTGGTTTCAAAAGATATCTACACATCTAAATATTTTTGATTCAAAGCTAGTTTAAATAAAAAAAAAAGCTGATATTTTTATCTGTTTTCAAATAAATTCCTCTTAAATTAATCTTGCATGAAGATGACATTCAATCTTGTATAAAGATGATATTTAATCTTGCATGAAGATGACATTCAATTATGCATAAAGGCTACTTTAGTGCTTAAAATGTTTTTGCACACAAAAATAATAAAAAATAAAAATAAAAACCTCAATAATAACAAAGTTTTTAAATTTGTCATCAATTTGTCAATCTAAAAATAAATTATCGTACATACCGTTGAAAAAGTAAAATAATACTGTGCGTACCTTACCAGGTCCGGTATACAATTTTTTCAGTTGAGCTTAAATGACCTTAAACCAAAATTAAATTTAACTTTTTATTAATCAATCTAGCAAATTGCTATATTACCTCCGGACAATATTTGTAAACAATTCTTCCCAAATTCGTTTTTTCCTGTTTTTGAAATAACCCAAAAGTCTATATTTCAGTTATCTCAAGCAGTTCATTATGTTATCTTTCTTAAAAATGTAATTGATACTTTCAGTGTCCAGCAAATAATGCTTTTGGCATAACGAGTCAAAGCTAAAGCAAACCAAATAATATTAGGATGTTGGTCATATTAAAATAGAATCAATATATTTTTAATGCAACTTTTTTATGCTCTCCTTAGCTAGATTGCTTCATAAATGGTCCATTTTTGTGAGTTTAGGACTAATTACCTACATTTTGCTTTAGCAACATATACTTTTCTTTCAAATTAAGCTTCTTATTTGTACATGAGGACAGGAGAAGCATCCTTTCGGTTACTATAGTAATAGCCATCATTTTTACTAACAAAAATGAATTTTTAACAAGTAAAAATGATGGCTTATACTATAGTAACCGAAAGAATGATTTTTAATTTTGCCAAGCTCAACAGCTATTGTTGAACTTAACAAAATTAAAAAACTTTCACACTTTTATATATTTATATAACTTAAAAACTTTTATATTTATTTTCTTAGATCTTCTTTTTCTTAATATTAAATTAAGCGTATAGATTTAAAATTTTATCTTTTGTTTTAAAAATCTATCAGTGTGCGTGGACAAAATATTACATTTTTTGGCTCCATATCTTTTTGTTGCTTTGGAGCTAATGTTAAAATATGCTGAAAACTGGTTTGTATAATCTTTTATCATTTATTAAAAATTCCACCAATCGTTTTTTTGTGGAGTATTTTATTTAAAATTTTACCAATCTTTTTTATTAATTGTTATATGATGCCGTAATAAAAAAGTGTTTTTCAAAAGCCAGTATATAAACATTTTTTGTTGGTCTGCATAAATAAAACTTAACCCTACTCTATATTGAATATAATATAGGCACCAACACTCTTGCATTACGAAACTTTTTATATGAAAATTTTTTAGCCAATTTTTTTTTCTTCTTGTAAATTCTTCAAAGTTAGATTCAACTAATAAAAAAAAGCTTTTTTTAATTCTAACATGGTTTTATATGAGTTTGAGTTTATAAGTTTCAGGAATCAACTATATATGCATATATTACATTTAAATAGTATATAAATGTAATATATGCATATATAGTTGATTCCTGAAACTTATAAACTGGTGTAGCACTTTCTCATCAAAATATTATTTTGATGAGAAAGTGCTACACCAGGCACTTCCATGCTGAAAGAACTCTTGAGTCCGATCATTCATCTATATTGAATTTCAATTTGTAAACACTATCTATAAACGAAATACCTTTTATATCACCATACTTTATATCTCTTATATCACTTATTTATATCTTAAATCTTGTGGTAAAATTCTTTATAGTTTACGTCACTTTTTTAATACCTACATAAACAGGTTGTTTTTTTTAAGTAAATTTTTTGTTTTGTGGTTTATCCTCCTCCGGCTAGTTGCCATACAGAGGCCACATTACCAAGGCCCGCAAAGACAAGTTCGGCTCCCCAAGGAGGGTCATAACCCGTTCAACGGACCAAGAGTAAAGTGATTTTGGGAAGAACGAATATATGTTATATTTTAGAAATTTTTCTGTAGGAGTCATATTTTATAAAGACTTTAAGTTAAATTTTTCTTGCTATATTCAAAGATACACTTTTTCAAAATTTCTAATTAATTTAACGAATTTCTCAGCTTTAATTAGGTTGTGGTTTTGTCTTTTTATATGCTTGTATATTTTTGCGTCATTCATTCATTATTTATTTTTTAATTATTCATTATACTTTCATTTTTATAAGTTAACTTTTAATTAAAAAAAAGTTTTTAAAAAACAGGTCATTATTTAAATATTTCATTTTTCTATATGAAAGTCAATCAATATAAAGTTGGAAATATTTATATTACCAACAATCATGAAATGGGTGTCTCGGAATAATTTAAAAAAATGCGAATCGCAAAAAAAAAAAAAAAAAGAAAAAAAAAATAATCAAAAAAGAAACAATTAAAGATGTTTGAGTGTTTTCTCTCAATTTATATTTTTAAAAAATTTGTTGCTAAAATAAAAGTCAAAAAAAATCTTTTCTGCTGCGACAATTTAAAACTTTTTATTCTTAAAAATCAGAAAAACTTTAACACATTTTCTTTAACCTCCCTGCTCATTTATCACCATACCCCCATCATACAATTATACCTCAAATCTTTACCGTGTTTACCATAGAAGTCTGTTTTTAAATGCAAAACAATGTTATTTATAAGATATTCATTATAAAATGAGATTATTGTTTGTTCTAGAAAGTTCACATCAGCTGGAAAAAAAAATCTAAGCACGACATTTTACGACACTTAAGTTTTCTTTAAATAATTTTATATACAAAAATATTTTAAGTACATTTATAATAACTACAATTTATCATAAAAGAAGATAAAAGATGAAAGAATGCGGCTCATTTACTGAAAACTTTGTGTGGTCAAGTTTAACTTAAAAGTTTACGTCAAAAAAATTCCAAAATGTTAAATAATAGCAATGAAAACAGCCGTGCAGAACACATTTTTTTTCTAATATTTAACAGTTGAAGAGCACAGGGGAGAAAAAGAGTATAGTTACACTTAAAAAGTTTTGAGAAAGTTTATATTGATCATTAATAAAAGTCATTGCATAAAGTTAGAGGAAAACAATTTTTAATAAAAATTACGAAAATTTTATTAAAAATGTAAACATTAAATAAATTAATCGAAAAAACTTTTTTTTTTCAAATTTTGAGACCTTTTTTTTATATGAAGACTTTTACGATCAACCCATATTTTCTTAAAACTTTTTAAATGTGACTATGCCGTTTTTTCCAGTGTACTCTCCAACGTATAAACTCAAACTATTATATAAACTAATTATATAAATCTATTTACTAGTAGGCACTTCACACGATTTTACTATTACCATTATTTCTTATTATAATTAATACCAAAATATGCGAATAATAAAGACGTTTTCAGAATGAGTTCGTTTTTTAAATTTGGATAACTGCTTCCCAAGTTATGACAATTTATGTTGGACTCAATAACGCCTATTTTGCGTCAAGATTTGTTGAGTTTTCCTAAAGATTTATAGTACCAAATTTTGATAGTAAACTTAATTTTCAAATGCTATCAATAAGAAGGAGTTTCATTGAAGAACTTATGCTGAATTATTTTTATTTCTTTCTTTTTTACTAAAGAATCAAAGCATTCAATTATACAAATTATCGTTCTCATATTAGGGCCCCTAGGTAAGGATTCCACTGCTCGTTTGCCCCATTTGGGGCAATTGGATCAAAAGCTGTAAAAGCTTTGTTAAAATCGTAAAAA